TAAATTTTAAAACTCTGTCGCAGAGTTGCATTAAATCTTTGCCATTCGACATTTAACTTATTTTCTGGTTGTATCATGCCATGTACCATGGTACAACAAGGTAGGTACAACAGGTAGAACAGCTTTGTAAATCTACAGAAATACAGCCCTAAGGCTGGACTCGCTTCCTGTCAGACACATTCAAAAGTATATGCAACACGTTGTTTTCTTTTTTTCATATTTTTTCCTCATTTTTAAAATGAGATAAATAGCGCGAAAAATGAATGAAATGCCTGGATTTTCTTTCAAAAATATGATCTAAACAGTTCTATATTTCAATTCTATAATAGCTTTAATGAGCGTCTCGCAATCATCGATCATCAATCAATCATTCCAATCATTGATTTTCAAAATATTAAATTATCTTTCTGGTTGTACCATGCCATGTACTATATTTTAGTAACATTCAAATTGTCGTAGATAGCTATAGTGGACAGTTAAAAACTTACTAAATAATCACCTTTTAAACCAACAAAACATTCAAAACCTCTTACTATCAGACAAATTTAAAAAAGGGACCTCAAATTTTTCTAGAGGCACTTTATCGATGTTCTGCATGTTTAATACGAAGGGAACCTGAAGATATTTTTTGCCTAATACAGAAAAATCGAAAACTCTTAACGTTCATACTATCAAATGCGCCAATACCAGGTCTCCATTTAAATAAAATCAACTTGAAACCCTTTTTAAAAATATATGATAGGTTTGGTAAAATAAAAATTCATTTTTTATGTTTTTTTATTTTTCTTTAATTTTAACATCTCTGTTTAAAATACAAATTAAGAAATGTTACCTTTAAAGTGGAAATATATGAAGCGCTCATCTGACTGCCTCAAGTCATCGGCTGCCTTTTTTGGAAATGAACAGAGGAGTCTAGGGCCAAAATCGAACTAAGTCAACCTAAAATTCCTTTGTTCATCTACGAAGAAGCGAGCCAAATATGCGCTTTACGTATTTCCACCCTTATTTTACGAAGTTATTTAACTATTATTTTAAGAAGAAATCTTATGAAACCTTCGTTCAGGAAATTTAATTTATCTTAAATTTATATTTCGTTGAATTTAACTGATAATTTACTTTTCTTGGTAATAAAATAGACACATATGTGACAAATATGTTGCGAAGAAAGCCAAGGATTATTAAATTGTGTAATTATGAAGTGTGAATCATTCTGAGAGTGAGCACATGCCCGTGAGAACATGGCATAAATAGATTTTCTCAAAGTAATTTTATTTTCATTTATTTGTTATTGCGCCACCTAACGCCGAAGCAAGCACCTACAGAAAAAAAGCTACAATGACAACACTAAAGCTTTGCCACACACACACAATGTGGCCAGATTGTGTGCTATGCCTATGACAGCATTGCCATTTCAATGTTTTTGCTGCATTTTGCGCGCAAATAGTTTAGTTTACCTCCGGTTTCCTTAAGCGTCGTATTGTCGTTTCTGTTTTCCTTGTCAAAGAAATTTTATAAACCCTTTTTGTTATCTAAATCTTATTAGATTTGTTTAATGTTGTGTTTCCTTTGTTAGTTTAATGGTTCCGCGTACGTGTGTGTTGTTTGTAAAAGTGTAAAACATCAAAATATTAAGCACAATTGTTTGGCTCAATAATTTCATTATATTCCATTGTGTCTACCAATCATTTTTTTTGCTTGTGTCAATGTGCTGTGTGTGTGTGTGCTTGTCATAAAAATAGAAAAACATTACTGTGACGTCACACATATAAACAAATAGACCAAAAACGTTTTGCAAAATTTTCGCAAAGTACATAATTTCATTAAAGGAACTGAACTGAAAATATGTTTGGTTACACGTGACGTGACGTGACGAGAGAGTGTGTGTGTGTGTTGTTGATTGTGGTGTTAAATCTATTATTATTTGTTGTGTAAAATGCAATACCCTAGACAATTTGTTGTAGTGAAATATTTTTGGCAAATGTTATATGAAAAAAAATTGAATGTTTAACCTTTTCACCGTAAACGATGATGAATTTTTAATCCCGAGGGGAATGTCCAAATTTACCGCAGATGAGGTAAGCCCACTGACTTATTTAATTTTTGAAGACTATTGACCCTTTGTTGTTTTGTAATTATGCTTAAAAGATTGGCTATTCAGATATGAAAACATTTTCCTTGATTTATGGGGTTTAAATTACCGCAAAATATTGGAACAGATCGAGAGCGCTTCTGTCGAAAGATCGACAGAATAAAAATTATTTGATTTTAAGAGAACTCTATGTTCATATTTGTGGGTGGGATCATTGGACTATGGGTGTCCCATGGTTTTGACTCATGTGGGCAAATTTGAAAAAAATAACGATATGAAAATAACAGCTTAGAAGCGAAAAAAAATGTTGAGTTGGCTTATAAATATATCAAATATACATTATAAATATATTAAATATTCATTTGTATATTAATGTCCGTCCACTTTAGTCAAAGTCCTTTTATTTAAATGTATACTGCCTTGGGTTATGAATAATCAGGGGCGAACATTTTATATCAAAGTAAAATGAAACAATGCAAAGAAAATGTGATATTGGGGATTTATACAGACAGGCGGACATCGCCAAATCGACTTAAAATTTTATGCATATACTTTGTGAGATCTCCGACGAATATTTTGAGTTGTTGCAAACAGAATGACAAATTCAATATACCGTCTATTGTATGGTGGATGGTATAAAAAGAAGACACGTTTATTGGGGTTTTGAAAGTTTACATCGCAAAGTAACCTAAATTGAAGGGCAAGTTCCCTCCACCTCCACACTTTGGAAAATAATCGGATTGAGATTTCTCGGAATCATTGCATTTTAGGTATATGATGTCTTCGGCAATATTGGTGATAAATATACGAGGATTATTTTGGTTTAAAATGTTAACCCTCAAGCGAGTCAATAAAAGAGTCTTTTTTGGGCATATTTGGAAATATGGTTAAAAACTTCCTTTAAATGGGATCGTAGCAAGTCAGAGAATTCCACAAAATTATTTGTCTTGAAATTCTACTATAGGTCCTAGAGGAGATCAAAATGCCAAATCCTTTCTAAACGCCAGGAATTTTTATATATTTAATATACATTTTAGGGTTAAAGCCGTACTTTATGTGCATTAATGCAAAATACTCCTGCAGAACATCATCTTAGAAGGATGAGGTCGAAGACAAAAAATTGCTATTCACTATAAGTCACCGAAGGGAAGAAATCTCGATTGCCATTATATATCAAGAAAAGATTTGTATCAATGTTAGCAAAAAACACGAAAATATTTCCAATTTTTATACCCTCAGCCATATGACTAAAGAGGGTATACAGGGTGAGATAAAATAAGTAAAAAAAAAAACATTAAGTTCGACCAGGCCGAACTTTAAATACCCTCCAACTTAGGGCAATGGAAACCGATGAAGAACCAATTATGACCCACAAATACCAATTTTTAGATATATTTGTTGGAAAATGTGGCAAAAATCATCAAAATACCGAATATCGTGAGGTACCGCTATATAGGGCTATACAAAAGCGTGGACCTATACATACAATGTTTCGCCAACGGAGCTAGAACCTATTATGGCCAACTAATTGCAAGTTTTAGACAAATCCGTGAAAAAAATTTGACAAAAACCATCAAAATGCCGAATATCGGGAGATACCGTTATATGAGGGCTACACCAAAGCCCATTATGACCTACAAATACCGATTCTCAGACAAAAAATCATCAAAATACCGAATATCAAGAGGTATCGTTAAATGGGGCTATACCATAGCGTGGACCTATACATACAATGTTTCCTATGACCTACAAATACCAATTTTCAGACAAATCCGTGAAAAAGTGTGGCAAAAATCATCAAAATACCAAATATCGGGAGGTACCGTTATATGGGGACTATGCCAACACGTGGACCGATACATCTCATTTTCAATACAACTCTCCTAGACACAATACAAATTATTCTGCTAAATGTTGATGCTCTACGTCAAATAATGTAGTCTGTATCGTGATTTCAACAGACGGACAGACGGACAGGCAGTATATTAACTTTCCTTTCCAAGGTGGAGGGTATAAAAACAGCTACAAAGTCAAAAGCCATACTTTTTACCTTTTCTTAAATTTTATTGAATTTAAGCAAAAAATGTCGGAAATAGCATTACATTTTAGAATAATTTAATGCGAAGCAACTCTTAAGCCTATTTTCTTTCAGCTGCGGTGTAAGTTCTTGCACTTTTTGGAATTTCAATGGCTTTAACCCGAGCTCATTTTTCAATATTTGCCGAATGGAATATTGCAACATGTTCAGCCCACGAGCCATTTTTCGGTCACTGCGACGCGGGATTCGATCAAGTCGCTTCTCTACATGTCGAACCATTTCTGCTGATGTTGCTGTTCCACATCCTTGACGTCGGACTACGCTACCAGTATTACGGTAACGAGCGATGGTTCGAGACACAAAAGATTAATTCGCATTTAATTGCTGGAGTGCTCTAACGATAGACACTAATGGGATGCGTGAAATATGAAGAGAACCGGATACTTATTTCGGATTTTATGATCGTTTTGGTTACTCAATACTTTGACCCTTTATGGGATAGGTACACAAGGAATGGTTCGATCTCTACCATCTTTATAACAGATCTTGTTCTCTTTCTTTATAGTAAAATATTTTTTTTAAAGTTTCGACCTTTTGTGCGGGAGGTACCAGAAGGAGCGGAATAATATTGCCCATCTTCGAACTCGATCTAAGTTTGATAATAATACTAGGATGCAGCAAGTTTGCACAAAATTCCGATTTGCCTTCGATAAACTCCCTTCAGGCGGAAGGACATTGCTAGATCGACTCTAAATGTCCTGAAACGGATCTGGTCCAAAGAGACCTTGGGTCTATGAGGCACGTTTTGGCCGTATAAAATGATATATACTCCCTCTAGCTATATGGCTGAAAGTATAGAAAGGTCAATATAAATATGTTTCTCCAATTTTATTTACAACAGCAAAACTCAAAACAAATTAATTAATAAATCATACACTTATTCGACGGATTCATATAGCTACCCTCGGGGCAATTGAAGGCCTTGGCGAATTCATCGAAATTAGCCAAAGGTCCAATGTCACGCAGCTGATTCGGTGTATGGGTATCGGCCAGCTGATTGGCTATATAAATCTCAGCATAATTCGAACACCATACCTGAGCGTACGAAACAAAAAATAGTTGTTTGTGTGTGTAACTGCTTAGATCAGGCAATGCGAGCCTCTCATCGTCTTGGGCATGTTTGCGATACCAGCTGAGATAAGCTTCATATGCCAAGCGCACACCACCGCCATCGGCTATATTCTCAGCTTGTGACGGCATTTCGGGTAAATGATGGCCGAAATAAACCAGATTTTTGTATTGATTTATAAAACATTTGCTGCGTTCACGGAACACCTGATCCGTGGTGGCGTCCCACCAATTTCGTGCATTACCCTTGGCATCAAAATTGCGACCACTGTTGTCGAAGCCATGAACCAGTTCGTGTGACACAAAGAAACCCAAAAAGGCAAAATTGTAGGCCGATGGGAACTCCGTGGACCAGGCATAGTAGGGTTGAAGGAAACTCACCGGCATGTAAACCATATTTTCGAATGGATTGTAATAGGGCGTTGTGGAGGCTTCTGCACCCATCTGCAAGGCCTTGGGTGGTTCATTCAGTTTGGCCCTTGCCTTCTCACCCCTCGTCCGACGTATTTCATCGATGTTTCGAACAAAATGCTGATCACTTATATCCATTTTCTCCACATCCGCAACATCTTTGGGATGTTCATAGGAGAGTATTTTCAATTTCATTTGTTTTAGCTTTTCCACAGCCTCCTTTTTGGTATCGTCACGTATCCAATCCAGACGTGGTGAGTACAAAATATCCAGGAACGCTGTCTTTAGCTCTCTCCAAATTTGGTATAATGTCCGTTCGGTGTTTTGGGGAATGTACTTGCGATAGACCATGTTGTCCATAACTTTGTAGAAATACGACTTGGTCTTTTCTATGCAGTATTCCACTACCTCGTTGTCTTCGGTTTTCGGTTCGACCATATAATCAGCCATGTAGGAGAAGAACAGATAATTTGCCACAATACGCTTGGGGGTTTTCTTGAGGATATCTCGAACATGATCCAAATATGACACCTGGACGTAAACCTCGTCGATGTCAGTGCTACCCATGATGTCATGTATCAATTGCCTTAGATCACCCATATTTTTGTAGTTTTGTTCCATTTCATCCATATCCATCAGGGTAAACATTTCCGATGGCTGGTGACCGGCCTTGGGATCATCCATGCCATGGGCCAGAGAAATTTCGAAATTCAAAATTTCCCATGCAATTTGCGTGGCCATCGATTCGTTCACTCCGAAATAGTTGTGCAAATAATATGTCGAATATTCAATGATCCTCTCTCGGCTATCGGCAAATGCCTCGCCGGTGTAAACTTCGGGATTTTGCATGGGAAGACGTGGCTCTCCAAAGATGACACGATTAATGGTGTTGTCACTAAAATCGGGTAGAACCATGACATTGAACAACAACTCCTGGCCAGTTTTGTAAATCATTTGTGCCAAAACCTTGACCCAATCAAAATCCTCTTCGCGCCATGAATCGCCAACTAACAGCGGCATTTCTCCAAATGCACTAACAACTTCCCTCAGCTCTTCGTTGTACTCCTCATCCAGAGAATGCTGGATTTTCAGACATGATTTAAAGAAATTCTTAACATTTGTATAGGCTTTGGTGTCGGTGGGATAGTCGGTCTCCAATTCACCCCTTACTCGGACATTCATTTTCTCTGACAATACTTCGCCAATGCCAATGGCTGGATTATCTTCGGTCACTGGATTGTGTTTGGCAAAGTTGCCACAGGCGTATTGATAAAAGTCCTCACAGGGATCGGCCGATTGATTCATGTATTTGAACATTTCAGCGGATTTGGCACGGCGTATTACATCCGGGGGGTGTTCTGGTGTTAAATCGCCCGTTGCGAGGGTCCATCCTTGTTGTGGGACAACCAATAAGAGAGCACAAAATATTAAAAAACGAAACATAATATACGCGAGGTACGATTGCCAGTCACAACACCTGAGCACAACTAGATTTGAAGAATTTAATTTTAAAACTAAATATTTTCCAAATGTACGGCTATTTATACGGGAGCCTTTGGTTTCGCCAATTTTTCAATCTTAGGCAAAAAGGTTATCAGAATATTTTAAATGCTGGTCTTCTTTGTAGGAACCTTCACATTCAAACAATTTCTGTTGTTTCCTCTTAAATCGGTCAATAGCTTCTAAGTTATCTTAGTTTAAGACGTCGTTTTGTCAAATTTGTGTTAAAGTTCAATTGAGCAATGTTAGAATGGATTCGAATGCATATACAATTATTGATAAGAGAGATCGATGTGTCTCACAAATTCATTATATTTTGATACTCTATACCATTATAAGGAGAAGCTCTTACATATCGAAAGGTAAGATGGTTTAATTGTGGGAAAAAGACTGTTAGAATATTATATACGATAATTTGGCAGATCAGGACAATTATCTAGGAAATAATGTCAGATCTGGGCCATTATTTCTGATAATCGCAGGTCTGAACAATTTTATTCGATATATTAGGCACATAGGAAAATCTCTCTATTATCTCAGACGGCCAGGATCATTGGTTATTCAGGACATAATGGTCGGAGATCACTATTATTTGGGAGAAAGTTAACAGAACCATAATCTCGCAGGTAATGGCGGGTTAGAAACATTATTCATGAGATAATGGTTAGCAATCATTTCAGTGGTCTGGACTTCCGAGCTAATGATCTTGAATGAAGATCTGAAAAAATTTATTGGATATATTAGGCACATAGGACCATCTCTGAGATAATAGGCGGCCAGGATCATTGGTTATTCAGGACCATTATAAAATGCCCATAAGGATTATTATCTTTGTAATAATGGTCGGAGATCACTATTATTTGGGAGAAAGTTAACAGAACCATAATCTTGCAGATAATGGCGGGTTAGAAACATTAATCATGAGATAATGGTTAGCAATCATCTCAGTGTTCTAGACATCCGAGCTAATGATCTTGAATGAAGACCTGAAAAAATGTATTGGATATATTAGGCACATAGAACCATCTCTGAGATAATGGACGGCCAGGATCATTGGTTATTCAGGACCATTATAAAATGTCCATAAGGATTATTATCTTTGTGATAATAGTCGGACATCACCATTATTTGGGAGAACATTAACAGAACCATTTTCTCGCATATAATGGCGGGTTAGAAACATTATTCATTAGATAATGGTTAGCAATCATCTCATTTTTCTAGAGTTCCGAGCTTATCTTGAAACAAATACTGATTATTATCTGTGAGTCAATATTCTTGTCCGAATGGTTGAAATAATGGACTTTTATCTCGGAGATGGTAAACGATCAGGATCATTATCTTGGAGATAATGGGGCAGGCCCCATAAGCTGAGAGATAGTGGCCGATCAGCCAGAACCATTATCTCGGAGATAGTGTCCGATCAGGCCTATTATTGGGAAGATAACGTGGTGTAAGGACAATTATCTAAGAGAAAATGGCCGGACAAGACCATTATTTGGGAGATAATAGCCTGAAATGATCATTATCTGAGAGATAATGACTGGCTAGTACCATTATCTGGGAGATAATAGCCGGTCAGGACACTTAACTGGGAGACATTAAGTGGCTAGGGTCATTATCTGGGAGAAAATATTAATTATTTGGAAGATAATTTGGAAATCACGACCATTATCTGGGAGTTAATGACCGGCCAGACCATTATCTGGAAGATAATGGCTGACCAGAACCATTATCTGGAAAATAATAGCCGGTCAGGACCATTATCTGGATGATAATAGCCGGTCAGGACCATTATCTGGAAGATAATAGCCGGTAAGGACCATTATCTGGAAGATATTGACCTCTAAGGACCATTATCTGAGAGATAATGGTCTGGTCGGTCTTTAACTCCCAGATAATGGTCGTGATTTCCAAATTATATTCCAAATAATTAATATTTTCTCCCAGATAATGACCCTAGCCACTTAATGTCTCCCAGTTAAGTGTCCTGACCGGGAGATAATAATAGATAAAATGCCAGGGCCATTATCTGGGAAATAATGGACGGACAGGACCATCATCTGGGAGATAATGATAAATTATTTGGAAGATAATGGCCTATAAGAATCATTATCTGGGGGATAACGATACATTATTTGGAAGATAATGACCGATCAGGACCTTCGTCTTGGAAATAATGGCAGATCAGGAATTTTATCTTGGATAAAGTGACAAGTCAAGACCATTATTTTGAATAAAATAGAGGGAAATAACCATTATCTCGGAGATGAGGGCCGGTAAGAAACATTATCTGAAAGATAATGCAACTCAAACCATTATCTGGGAGATGATGCCTGGTCAGGACTATTATTTTTTTTATAGAAAATGACAGAAAAGAATTATTATCTCGAAGATAATGACCTGTTAGAAACATTATCTGCATTATTATGACCGGCCAGGCTCATTACCTGGGGGATAATGTCTGTTCAGAACTTTTGTCTGGGAGGTAATGGCCGGTCTGGACAATTATTTCGGAGATAATGGTCGATTTGAACAGGATTTCTATTTGGAATGTAATTGTCGGACGGGAGCTTTATCGGGGACATGACGGTTAGGCTGGACCACCCTCGTAGCCGGTGACGATCATACACTATTTGACCGTACACTATTAAACTCATTAAATATATAGCTTGGCATTCCCACCAAATTGCGCTTTTTCGTCCACTGTGCTAGACCACAAATTACACTAAAGCCGTACGTAATGACCTAATTTCATTTATTCTAAGCTCCACACTGAGATGACACCCTGTGTGTTTTGCAACTATCAACAAAGAAGCGTAAGAAACAAACAAACAATCCTCCAAAGGGGGGCGGGGGGTTGGAGGTGAAGACCTGCCTACACCTTACACTGGCAGCTGTCACATGTAATTGGCACATGCGCCTTTGCCTCTAAGACCATGTGCATTTATTTCAAACAAAACACCTTAACTGCTGAGAAAGAGAACCATCTAAAAAATGTACCGCAATTTTCTGCCATCGAATTGAGAGAGCGAGAGACAGAGAGCATCCCTATGGCGAAGGGTTTGTCTGTCTGTCTATCTGTCATCCCTTGAGTGTGCCAGAGAATTTGCTGAGGTTTTTCAGTTCGACTTTCACACTCAGCGTTAACGGTAATCGCGCGGTTCATACGGTGTCGTCTCGCTTTTCGTTCATTCCTTTAATACAATAAAAAAAGTGCTGAAATCACAGAGTGTCTTCTTGGTAGTTTCATGTTCGGTTGCTTCCAAAAAAAAAAAAGGAATAATATATAGAAAAAAGTAAACCAAAAGAGAAGGCATATGAAAAAGTTTTAAATTTTTATTTGGCAGAAAAAGTAAATGTTGAAAAAAGGAAAAAAATCCATTTTGTGATGATGGTGATGATCTAAACTCAAATTAAAAAGGATATAATAAAATATTTGAAAAAAGAAATTGAATCTTAAATTGTGTTACAAAAGGCGCATTTTGTTTGGCCAAAAAGAAGAAAATATTGATTTTCATTCAGTCTTAAGAATTGTAAAAAAAAATTAGAGAAAAAATGTTTCAGAGAAATATCATTGGATAATAGTTTCACCACATGATTTAAAGAGTAAGTGCAGTGATTTTTTCTTTTTAACCAAAAACCAGTTACAATTTTTTTTATTTTTATATATGTTACGCTTACGTTGTCATCATTCGTTTATCATGAAAATATTTTTGTTGAAAAGACAGCAGAAAAAAAAATCGCTTAAACGAAAAATCGCGTGATTCATCTTGATTTCGGAGCTTTTATTAACAGCATGAGCTGCTCGGTCGGTGGAGTAATAGTAGAATTTGCTTACTCGAAAATAACTATTATAATTTGTTGTTGTTGTCGTCTTGTTTTTCGTTTTGGCACTTTCTTCTATAGGACTCCTTTTTTCTCAGCCTTTCTTTCTTTCTTTCAATTCTGTTTGTTACTCTCTTATTTGTTCTACTCACACATACACACTCACATTGGTAAATTGTAGTTGGCCGACATTGCCCTCAATACGTGGTTGGCAGGCATGTTTTTTGTTTGTTACAGCATTTTACGATTTTTGTCGTTGTTCGTATTAGGATAGCGGTATGTTGTGAGTGGGAAATTTGATTGGTAAAGTTAAACCATTATAGCCTTTCAACATAAACAACATCCGGTAGATTTGGTTCCAAATATTATAAAACAATTAAAGAGGACAAAAATAATACAAATACAAAAGGACATAGTCGACGATGTACTATAGGCCGTTCAAAATTGCGACCAACAGTAGAACTGAAAGATTTTAAATAAAAAAAATTTTGTTTATTTTTTCCGAAATGCGCTGTTTAGCAAATTGATATACATTATATATATCAGACCATAATAAGACTGAAGAATAATCAATTTTTGGTCAATAAGATTTGTAAGGATTATCTTTTAATTTTAATATTATCGTAATTATTGATCCCAGATCGGTTCAAGATCCGGGCCCAACTATTTTTTTTCAATTTTTAAAATTTTTTTTTAGTTTTAATTTTTCATTATGTCCTCCATCATAGTATGGAGGATATACTAAGTTTGTCATATTGTTTGTAGCACCTCGAAATATACATTTTAGATACCGTTTTAGACATGTATATATATTCTTGATCAGCATTCTATGTCGATTTAGCGATGTCCGACCGTCCGTCTATCCGTCTGTGAAAATCACTCTAGCTTCCGAACGAAATTAAGTAGCTTGAAAATTTGGTATTTGACGTTCGTAATGGATATTACAGCTTATGACAGGAGATTGTCTGTGCAGGTCCACGTCTTCGTATAGCCCCCATTAACGGTACCCCCCAGGGACAGCCTATGACAGGAGATTGTCTGTGCAGGCCTTCGTATAGCCCCCATATAAAGGTACCTCCCCATATTCGGTATTTTGATGACTTTAGCGATATTATTCACCTGAATGATTTCAAAATTGGCATTTGAAATTCGTAATGAATAATACAGTCTGTGTCAGAAAATTGTCTGTGCAGGTCCACGCCTTCGTATAGCCCCCATATAAAGGTACCTCCCGATATTCGGTACTTTGATGGTTTTAGCGACATTATTCACCGGTATCATTCCAAATTAGGTATTTGATATTCGTAATGTCTGTGCAGGTCCACATTTTGGTATAGCTCCCATATAATGGTACCTCCCTATATTTGGTATTTTGAGGTCCACGTCGTCGTATAGACACCAAAAGAGCAATCGGTATTTTTAAGATTTTAAAAGAATTTTCAACGGATATATATTTTTTGAAAATTGCCAAATTCGTTTCAAATCCATTTAATTTTGCCAAATTTTGCCATTTTGGGTTTTTTATGTAGAAACGCTTTTTACAAAAAAATTATATATATAAAAAAATTGTATACCTTTTGGAACAGCAGTTATATAACGATATCCCTGATTTTGGTTATTGCAAGGGACCTGGTCATATTTTCAATGTAGGTTCATGTTTCGGACTAGCGTCCATATACAGGGTGATATGAAAAAACTGCAACCAACTTCAGATTGATGTCATTTCTAAGCCAATCGTCCGACAGTTGTTAAAATTATTCCAGTGACAGCTCATTATTTGGTATAAATTGATTGGCACTGAAATTTGAATTTTGTGTCGGAAAACCATCCGAGCATGTTTAGTTAACGGTTTCATTTAAAGAGACCTCCAGATTATCGGTATTTAAAAGGTTGAGATAAAGTTTTCTATCGAGTTGCATGTAAATTGGCCAAACAGCAATATTGGATAAATAGGCATTCACAACGTCCTGGCGGAAGCGACTTTAATTTGATATTTTGAAATCTTAATGGACAGCAAACACATATACAAAAAAATATTAAATGTGTTTCCATTTTGAAGATCCTAGCAACATATTTAACACATATTTTTTAACGTAATCATTTAACGACTATTTTAAAAAATCTTCAAAGGTGTTACGTGTGAAGCCAGCCGATTTGGCTATATTTAAAAAAAATCCATAGTGAAAAAAATAAACTATTTTTCTTCCAAATCCAAAATTTCCAATTTCCAAAAACAAAAAAATTTGTTTAAAATGCTTTTTTACCAAAACTTGAGCCTAAGTTGACAATACGTCGGAAAATACCCCTCAAATGAAAACCGTTGTATGGGGATATACTATATCGTGGACCTTTCAGTAAACACAAAGAACTCCTTCTGTAGAATTTTAGACAATGGAAAATGTGGCTATCATCATCAAAATACCGAATATCGGGAGGTGCAGTTATAGGGGGTATATGATATCGTGGAACTATATAGACAATTCTCTTTCAGGGGGTAAAGTACTCACAAAGAGCTCCTTCTGTTGAATTTAACCCAATTCCACCGAAAAATTCAAATCAAAATACGAAATATCGGGGGGTACCGTTAATTGAGGACTATACGATATCGTGGACCAATATAGCCCATCTTCGAACTTGATCTGCCTGCAGATAAACGACTGATCTGGGCAAAAGTTTAGCTTCCTATCTTAATTCGTTAGATGACTTGCTTTGAAGCGATTTGGATGCTAAATTCTCATTTTATGATCGTTTTTGACCCTTTTATGTACCGAAGGACTGGGCCGTAAAAATGTTGACCTTTTGTGGTGGAGGTACCAGAAGGGGTGGACCGATATTGACCATCTCCGACCTTGATCTAAGTTTGGTAATAATATTACGATATACTAAGTTTGGGCCAATTCGGACACTGCATTTGAGAGTTGTCGTGCGCACCAGCCAGACAGACGGAGGGACGCCTTTAAATATTGAACAGGATTTGGTCCAAAGATACCTAAGGTCTAAAACCATTATTTCGATGAGGCATATCAAATGATATATACCATCTCTTGCCATGTGGCTGAGGATATAAAAATGTGGATTGATGGTGACAATTTTTGGAACCTAAATACTGCACTAAAACGTATCTCAAAATGACCATTATTTTGCAATAAAAGAGCTATACAAAAATTCGGACCTGTGCACTATGGGTAAAAAGCATGATTTTTGGCATAAAGTCATTTTTTTTTTTTTGGTTTCATATTTTGAAATTTAACTGATTTCCTAAATGTAGATACCCATATTAGAAAAAAAAAATGTTTTATATCAATTCGGGTGGCAACCCTTTTTTGCTGGCGAGCTTTTAAAGTCAGCTGTTTGAAAGTCACTTTGTTTTGGTACAACTGGCGGTAAAGATCAGCTAAGTTCAAGTGCTTCTGATTTGACAAAATTGAAAAAAAATAAAATGTGTAATTATGGAAAACGTTAGTGCAGGTATGTAAAATTAAGACGAGGTGCCCTTTTTGTCATAATTGTCTGTTGTTGTAATACTGTGAAATGTTTCGTTTATGTATAGCTTTATATAAAATCTATAAATTGTAGCTGTGTTCCGTGGAGTGTAACTTGTGAATGGCAAAGCATTGCAAAAAGGTATAAATGCCAAGTTATTAACAAAAGTGTGTTAATTAATGAGTAACTAGCCTTTTTTGTTCTATTTTGTGCCAACACGTGTTTTGCAGATAAACACGTGTTTGCCCATGCAGCGCTTATTGAAATTTGGAGCAGCAACAATCGCTCAGAAGATGCACTAGTAAAATATGTGGTACAGAATATCAATAATATCACTTTAAATGAAGACCAAATGCGTTTGATATCAAAACAGGTTAAAAATTTTGTAAATTATATAAAAAAGCATTTGCCAAAGTGCAACCGTAAACTAGAGCGATTTAAAACTAAACATTCAAAATGGTTTAGCAAAAGTATAATTATAGTAATGAATGAGCAATATGTTTCCCCATATATGTTTCATCTTGGGAGAATAAAAAATGTTCATAAACAAAAAAGTTGGGTCAAATCGGCTATATAGCAGCTATATGAAATAGTGCCCCAAATCATATGAAAATTGGTAGGTCATCTTGGGGGCATAAAAAATTAATACAAACCAAATTTTAATTCAATAGCTTCATAAAAAAAAAGTTGGGTCAAATCGGCCAGATCGGCTATATAGCAGCTATATGAAATAGTGCCCCAAATCATATGAAAATTCGTAGGGCATCTTGGGGGGCGTAAAAAATGAATACAAACCAAATTTCAATTCAACAGCTTCATAAACAAAAAAGTTGGGTGAAATCGGCCAGATCGGCTATATAGCAGCTATATGAAGTAGTGCCCCAAATCATATGAAAATTGGTAGGTCATCTTGGGGGCATATAAACTGAATACAAAACAAATTTCAATTCAATAGCTTCATAAACAAAAAAGTTGGGTCAAATCGGCCAGATCGGCTATATAGCAGCTATATGAAATAGTGCCCCAAATCATATGAAAATTCGTAGGGCATCTTGGGGGGCGTAAAAAATGAATACAAACCAAATTTCAATTCAATAGCTTTAAAATTAGAGTTTATGCCAAAATAAACCTAAAAAAACCATAGTGCTGTGGTTAAAATTGTCTGGATCTTTGGTAACAAGATTTTGGGGTTTTATAAAGGCGTGGGCATAAAACGTGGTCTCCCAATTTTTAAAACCAAAGGGATGTACGAAAATGTAGACCCTGGTGACATTCGTGAGGTCAGCGAGCCAAAAAGT